AGCTCCTTCGCCTCTGGCACATAGTCAATCAGATCCTGCAGCCCAAAGCCCAGATCATCGAGCGCCTCGAGAGCGTCGGTCGAGGTCACCGTCGTGCGGCCTGCGTGCTGGGCATACTTTGCGGCGGACGAGGCGAGGAGGGAGATGTAGCGCGCGAGGAGGTCAGTGAGGACGGCAGACGCGTGGGTGGACGAGCGCGAGAAGGCGGCGGCGTGGATGGACCGGTGCGTCGCTGCCTCGAGCAGTTTGTAGGAGGCGTGCTCCATGAGTGTGACTGTCACGCTTGTGAAACTCGCTTTGACCGTTTGCCGCATTTGTATGCGATAAAAAATAGGGTTTAAAAATTATCGGACCAATGACACACACGGCCGCATTAAATTTGGAACGAACGTGGAGAGGCGGCATTTTGTAAAGAGCTGCAAGGAGATGCAGTAGACTTTATCTGAGTGGGATTAACATTCAAAATTTGGATGTGGGGCGGCAACGGGTGATAACCATTATCCCAAGCGAGGCAGAGACGAAAGAACGGGGCCGCGAATGACATTATTGGATTACTTCGACGCAACTTCACGCAACTACCACCAACACACCGTCTGAAACGCGCCACTCGGCCGTGGCATTGTCCACATCCAACTCCCTCGCGCGTTTGAGCATCAGTGCGCCCTCTGGCGGTCCGTCGGATTTCGCCACAATTTCCGCGTCCGAAACACTGAGGTTGATGTCCAGCGGCGGGTGCGCAGGCACAGACAGAAGCAACCGCCTCGCTTCCAGCTCGAGCGTCGTCTCGGCGACCAGAGCTCGCGTCTAAAGTGATAAGTAAAACAAAACCGCGTTTGGTTAATCAACACAAGGGGGAGAAGACTCGGACTCGGAGGCGTACTAGGAGGGGGATGTGGATAGTTATTTCTATGGCACCGCTTGTGGCCTTTGCCCAGCTCCACGTCGGTCGGGATGCAGATGGGGTCGGACGAGGGGGTGGCGCAGGTGCATCGGCGGTAGCCTTCAAAATTCCTTTTGTGGTGACAGCAGCATCAGATTTATTTCCTTTAACTGCGGCCGCTGGAGGATCGAGTTCTTGGATCAGCGGTTTTTTGGGGCCTGTCGGTGTGGGGACGGAGGAGGGGATGAGGACCGTGCGGGGCAGGAGTTTCCCTTTGGAGGCGATGTTTGGGGTGGATATCTGCCGTGAAAGGACTAGCGACGTTTGGGCTTCGATTCGTTGTAACGCAAGCTCTGTCGCGTAAGTACTTGAGTGTACACACAAAGAAGCGTTTAAATTTAACTAACGCGCCTTGGATGAAGACCTTGAATGCGGGGTCTCGGACCGTCCGCGAACGGATGGAGGTGTGGTATATACAGTCGAACACGAGAGATGGATTGCCGGCTGGCAAGAATAGTTAGCCACGACAACAACAAAGCCTTGCGGTGCACGAAGATCGCAATCCCAGCACATCGACCTGATCGGAAGGAGCCAAGAGCCGCACAAACGTACACTTATCGTTGTCTTGTCTTGGTTCGGAGACAATGACCGGGACAAACCAGGAATCGGGGTTAAGGTCATCGTCCTCGCCGTGCATCGCACGGTGTATGGCCTCCTCATTACCCTCCGGTGGAGGCGGAACCTGTTGTTTCAACGCGAGATTCAACGCGTGGATCGGCGGTGCAGCTCAAAAATTTGTTGACCTGCGCGTCCCATGCAATGTTGATGAATATTTTTCGGTGGACAGGGACTGCAACATCCTTGAGGACGGCGGGCTGGATTGTTGTTGACTTTATGCAAAAGCCTGCAATTGGCTTGAGTGAAACCGGTGTTTTGGACATGGATGTTTTGGAGATGAATGCTTAATCGAGTACACAGCCACAGATGCCATTTTTTTTCAAAGTAGTTACGATATAATTCATACAGACTAAGGAAACGGCAGTGGCAGGCAAATATGGGGGTAGGGCGGAGTGTGGGAAGTAGAGGAACGGTGTTCGCTTGTGGGCCGGAGTTTCCCCTTGAGTAAACTGCCACGCTGATCTAACTCTGACTCGAACGTTTGACCAGATGTCCTCCCAAAAACCTATAAAAGACCCACAGTCTGCGCCGTTCAGATTCCGTAAATCGCCCTCATTTCCTCCTCTGTTCGAGTAGTCCAACCCTTCCTTACCTCCACAGCCGTACCGGACGAAGACATGTACAACGTCAGCCCGATTGCCGACTTTGACGACGCAGAGAAGGTCCAGCAGTACATCCAGGACCGACGTGTCATTGGTGTAGGCTCTACTACTAGCCTTCGCGTATACTGGTTTATTCACATCAAGACAGTACGACCCTCTGGTTCAGCCCGCGCTGCTCAGACACGAGATCACCTCGACCGCCCACGCGCAAAAGATCATCGCGTCCGCGCGCTACAATGCTGCCCGCATCGTCGCCGGCCAGGACGATCGCGTCTTGGTTATTATCGGCCCGTGTTCGATCCACTCGCCCGAACAGGCCCTCGAATACGCGAATCTCCTCAAATCAAAATTGCCCGAATGGTCAAATCTCTTGATCGTCATGCGGGCTTACTTGTGGGTCCTTCTCTTATCCCATCCTCGACTAATCTAACCGATTTGCAGTGAGGTGATTCCCATCTATATGTTTTGTTCTTGCGCAAACGTGCTGACTCTATCCACAGAAACCCCGTACCACCGTCGGCTGGAAGGGACTCATCAACGACCCCGATATCAATGGCTCTTTCAAAATTAACAAGGGTCTGCGCATTGCCCGGCAGTTGCTGTGCGACATTGCAGACTCGGGCGTTCCGGTGGGTTCGGAACTGCTCGACACAATCTCCCCCCAGTACCTCGCGGACTGTAAGTTTGTTTGTTTGTTTCCGTCCTTCCATGACCCACATATTTCTCCAGTAATATCCTGGGGCGCCATCGGCGCTCGGACCACCGAGTCGCAGCTCCACCGCGAGCTCGCCTCGGGTGTGTCTTTCCCCATCGGCTTCAAGAATGGCACCGACGGCAGGTTCGTTGATTCTACAGGCTCGCTGGGTCGATATATCTGACACTTCGCAGCGTCTCGGTTGCCATCGACGCCATGTTCTCTGCTGGATCCCCTCACGCCTTCATGGGCGTAACGGAGCAGGGTGAGGGTTCCCTTCTCTGCGGCCGCTGAATATCCCTGCTAACTACCACTCTTCTAGGCCTCGCTTCCATCGTCAAAACCCGCGGCAACCTGGACACGCATGTGATCCTCCGCGGCGGGACGAAGGGCCCCAACTACGCCAGCGAGCACGTAAAGGAGGCCGCGAAGGCCATCAACAAAAAGAAGGACTGGGCGAGCATAATGGTCGACTGCAGCCGTAGGTTTCCCTCTATTCACGCGCCGATAATGCGTCCTCATCGTTCACTGTAGACGGCAACTCGCAGAAAAACCATAAGAACCAGCCGCTTGTGATTGACTCAATCTGCGCGCAGCTCGCGGCGGGCGAGCGGAACATTACGGGCGTCATGATCGAATCGAACATTAACGACGGGCGCCAGGACGTCCCGAGCGAGGGCGCACAACATCTGAAGCACGGCGTCAGCATCACCGACGCGTGCGTCAACTGGGAGACGACGGTGGAGATGATGGACAAGCTCAACGCGGTACGTCTTTTGCCTGCCTTGTTTTTCCTCGACGCTCATTACCTCTGTAGGCTGTCGGGCAAAGACGGCAGACGCTCATGGATGCTGGATTCAGCCGGCCGCCTGCGTTTGTGCGCGCCGCCGAGACCGCTTGAGCGTATGATTGTAATTGTGTTCTTGCCATGTCTTAATTAGCACTGGATGCTCCAGTCTCTTGTAATTAGTATTGTCGAATGGATGTTGAGCACGTCCAATTAGAGGGGTGCTCTTCGTGTTGTTAGTATGTACCTGCATCATATAATAAAGGAACCATGGCTACCTTTTGCGCTCTGTGATTTCAAGAATGGGACTTCGCGGAATTCATCTCCCGCTAATCTCGAACACGGTATTAGAGGAATTAGTTCGAATTGCTTGCCTTGCTCTCAATGCAGCAGCAATATGTATATGTTCACGAACTTATGGTGCTATGTCTAGACAGCAATGCAAGGTTTTGAATATGCCCAGCGGAGCAGAGACTTACCGAGCCGCCGAAAAAAGCGACCACAGGAATCGGATAGCAACAAGTGAATTTGACTTGCAGAAATCAAGTATGTGGTCCGAACTCGTAAGCTCGGCTAGACGTATAGATACGAGTCCCAAAGTCGGGCCAATTCGAACAGGGCCTATTTCCTGGGTGCAGGACATATGTCCTCGAGCTGTGATAAAATCCTGGCTAGGAGGTTAAGATAAATGCAATCCGTCCGGATGCGCCAACCGTCAGTAGTTGTTGCTCCTAGACGATGAACGAAAATCAGATGAAGGCCCGGTAGTTCCAGTATCTGCTTCGAGAGTGCGGCAAGGGTGTTAGGGAACGTCCAGTTTGTTCGTGGGGATTCAAGTCATAAGAGCACTTGAGATTTACGAAGGTTGGGTCTGGAAGTCGATTTTAGGGAATTCAGAATGCAATGAGTGTCGGTTTCACCTGATGGACGAGTGAGAGTGAGGCTCGAAGGTGGTAGTATAATGGAATGACTGACCTTTGTTACGATGGAAGAGCGCGACAGTGATAGCATCGCTGAACTTGCTGTTCGATAATGCTTTGTTTGGGGTCAGAGTAGAATTAGCACCACCCAACGACCTTCAGCAAATGGTTCCTGCGCGGTGGTTGATGCGGCGGCGGCGCCGCTACAAGTCATGCCTAGGCCAGATGAGGTGCATAGGTAGTCTCTTGTAAACAGACGATCTCACTCGTGTTTTAGTGTATAGGTGGTGTGAGGCAGGTTGAGCAAGCAAGTTCATCATTTTGAAGCCTCAATTTTGGGAAAACGAGAGATACTGAACCTCGGAGAAAGGATGCTAGAGGGGGGAAAAAAAAGAGAGATAATGGAGCAAGAATGCAAAAATGCAAAAATGCAAAAAGCTGACAAGAGTGGGATTCGAACCCACGCCACATTACGTGATGAGAAACCCCGCGAAGGGAAGCTTTCGCTTGAGTCACACGCCTTAACCGCTCGGCCATCTTGCCCTGAATAGCAGCCAAAGACAGCAATCACACGACGCACATCGTACTACTGGCCGTCATGGGGCCTTTGCTAGCCACAACTCACTACAAGTATGGCCTCTAATGTGTTTTCTAAGCTGCGTAAAAGACGGACCACTTGTGCTCAAAATTTTCACCAACGGTTCCCGTTGGTCAAATTTCAAAATGTGGCCGGGCCATGGGAAAAGTGGCATCCACACAGCCACTGAGATGTCGCTTTCACACTCATTACGTTTGGCCCATTTGGGCACTGGCACTTACTCGCACCTTGACCACGACCATCGCACTGTATCAACACCAGACCCAAGACACGCAACATCCCATGCAATAGGCTGATTTTCATTGAAAAAAAATGTGTTTGTCTTCCTGCAACATGTTTCTCTTCCTACAACGCGTGCTGAATTATCATAGGCAACCCAAACACATGATGTCAGCTTTATTACCTGTTATATCCAAGAACGACGGGGGGGTGAGGTCCGGAGATCGGAGGTCCGGCAGATATCGGAGGATACGCAAGCGCCACAGGAGACAAGGGCGAGCTTACTATCTGGACTGACGACAAGACAGAAGTATAGGAGGATCGATGGAGATCGGAGGTCGACTTAGAGCGAGGTGAATAGCCAAGCAACGTTAATAATCAAACTGAAGAATACATAAGTGTAGAAAGCATATTTATATTAAGTATCTAAGAGTCACTCCGGCAGCTGGAATAGAATAGGAATTGGAATTGGAATAGATGCCATAATGTGACATCACAGTGTCGTAACACCTCTCGTAACTTATTTCTTTCGACTTTTTCACGACCAGTGCACACCTTTCACGCATTCTAAGCCTTATGGCGTGGGGAGGTGAAGCAGCTGACTGGACCAGTGATCCCAAGGACGTCGAAAATCTCATCCGCTACTTCCACACCCAACGCAGCCGGTTCGGAGATGGTGGAAATCCCGACAAACAGCTTTGTAATGATGCCGCTGCACATTTTCGCAGCCTTGGCGCACCGAAGCATGGTGGACCAACGTTTCTTTCCATCGTGTCATTTAGTCCAGAATGGAACCCACCAACTGAACGGCGGCTTTGCGTTCACCGGCAGGGGTGTCAACATCAGCGGCCATCTACCGGCCGTAAGTATCATTGACGCAACGGCAACGGGCGGAAGCCCTACTCAAAGGTCTTATTTTCAAAAACCGGGTCCGGTCAAAGACTTCGGATTCAATCAGGTCTCGGTGGACTGTGGTGCGTCATACAGCCAATTTTTTTTAACTTGAATCCTCACAAAAGATTTTGGCCAGATTCGGAAACTGCATGATTACATCCTTCAGGCCCTACAAAAAACCTATCCCGGTGCCTCTGGGTGGACCTACACCCACGAGCTTGGCTTCAACGTCACTCCGGAGAGCAAGGAAGCCTGGCTGGCTTTCGTCAAAGCCGGCAACTCCCATTTCAAGCCTTTTGCCAATCGTGGCTGGGTTCACTGGGAGCTTGTGCACGAAATCCTCCCCACCCGGGCCAAGGGTAAATATGTCTTCAACGGTGCCTCATCTGGCTCCCAGGCGCACGGGGACCTCGATGAGTCTGTGACATTGTCCGATGTGACACAGCTATCGACGGAATCGCAGCTCTCGGACACTTCGTCACAGTCCTCTGCTCCCTCTCAGCCCATCTCTAACTGGTCTCAATCTGACGATGGCTGCTCCCAGTTGCACGATGATTTTGACGACGGGCTTAACAACACGTCGAGCTTGGATCAGCTTGCATCGGCTGCACTCCAGCATTCCCAATCCCCGTCCGCTACCCCAGAGACACCAGTAGGAACTTTGCTTCCGGTAGCTCCCCCCGTTTTCCCTGCCCCCCCTGCGACACCAGCCAATCCACGAAAGCGTCTGACATCCGACGAGATGGAGACACCATGGAGCAACAAGCGCACCAGAACTACCGGTCCTGAGGCAATCATGTTCCTCGGCCGTGGGGTCATGGACATTGGTGGCGCACTGCGGGATTGTTTCGGGAACAAATCGTCGGGCCTCTCTCCGACGAAGAAGCTTGCACAGGCTCGGGATCTTGCGGAGAAGGACGTGATATACAATTACATCACGTCTGACGTACGTCTTCGTCTCTCCCTCCTCTTCGCTCGCGACCCCTCTGCTGCAGATGCCTATATTGCAGAGCGCGACGGTTACAGCCGTGCAGACCTTGCTAGAATCCTTCTCCCCGATTTTTTCTTTTAGATTTTAGATACAAATATGTCATTAATCTAGCTCTTCGGGTTCAATGTCATTGTAATGAGTGTCTATGTCCATTTGGTCCTCGAGAATCTTCTGATAATCAATCCACATTGCATTGGCCAACTGATCTCGTATGTGTTCTGCTCGAGCCTTCTCTCCAGCCAGAACCCTGTTGGAGGATGAAAGCCGGCCAAAGTCAATTGGCTGTGCTCGCCTCGCACCTGGAAGCAGGTCGGTTGCCTGCTCTTGAATAATCCAGCGGTCAAGATCTGATTCATTGTGTTCCAAAATAAAGTTGTGCAATGCAACCAGGGCAGATGGAATCCGTGCCTGGGTCTCCATGTTGTAGTGTGGAGCACGAGTGAGTATGGTCCATTGGTGTTTGATCACCCCAAAAATTCGCTCAACAACATTACGAGCAGACGCATGACGGAGGTTGTAGAGTTCTTTAAAGTTGGCAGGCCTGCACAATGTGTGAGATTGTGAAAGAATAAAAAGAGGCAATATCTACCGCTTATTGGCGCGTGCCCACTCAGCTAGATGATAGCGTACTTGACGATACGGGACAAGTAAAGCGTCACATATACCAAATCCAGCATCTGCAAGATAGGATTTTCCCGCTGGTATCGGAAAATCTTTCAGACGCGCTTGTGCATACATAGTTGCATCTGCTGCGCACCCATCCCACCCTCCGGTGAAGTAAAGAAAGTGCATGTCAAAGGAAACTACTGCCAAACAGTTCTGGGACACCCCCCCTTTTCGGTTCCGCGCCATATGCAATTCTTCAGCTGAGGGTGTGCAATTTATATGTGTTCCGTCAATAGCACCAAGAACATTTCGGAAATATGGCCACCATTTGGGATTGTTACGGATTGCATCGGGAGGAGGATCATTTGCAGATGGGAGCCGCACATATGTTGTATAAAATTGCTGGCCAGATAAGATGTTGAGAATCTTTCGGAAGTGTCTACAGCACAGTCAGTCGTGAATCAGCAGAATCAATGGTGCTTACTCAGATATTGTGGTATGTGAATGCTGAAATCGCTCAGCAACATGGTCTATGGCCAATCCAGTAACACATGTGTAGAGGAAAATAGCCAGAGACTCGTCAAGTAGGATATGGGAATTCTCGCTCTCGTAGTGCCCCATTGTACGTAAAACAAGGATCAGAGCCAGGAAAACATGGCGACGCATGCCCAGAGCAATATAGATGCGGTCTGGGTGCCCTGCGAGCAACTCGTCCAGCCATGCACGACCCGAAAGTGCAGAGGTATGCAGTTCTGTCTTGCAGTACTCCGGCATAATAAACAGGGCCACCCCAAAGACTATGTACTGCACAAGAGAAGCCAGGACAGTAGCAATCCAACGCTTGGTCTCCTCTGGGCTTCGGGGTGGTCCTGGCATGGTGGAATAAGTGTGTAGAGGCGCGATTATCGCGTGTTTCCACGCTTCGGTCACATCACGTCACATTATGGCATCTATTCCAATTCCAATTCCTATTCTATTCCAGCTGCCGGAGTGACTCTAATTGTTAAGTCATATAAGGAAATATCAAGATGATCAAAGGACATAACAATAACGTCAAGTCGTAAGGAGTTGAAGAAGTAATAGACAATAAGAAAGAAGACGGATAAACAGGAAACACTCAGTAATCCTTCACTGCGTAAAAACCCGTGTGACCGATGAATGACCGATGAATATCCAATAACTCGGTGATTGGATATCGGAGGATGTTGGAGGATGTTGGAGGATGTGCACGGATATAACATTACCCTCTGATCCAATCGTGTCCATTTTGGTGTGGAACAGACTCGACTTCAACACATTAGTCATGATGGACTTGATATCATGGGCATCACTTGGCCATCCTCTCTTTGACCAACTTTCCTACACTTCAAGCTTTCACCGCTGTCTATCACAAAACTTACCGGCAAGGAAAAACGCGAAATGCAGATCAATTTGTTGAAGCTCTCATGAGCACAAATACCACAGTGGTTTGTCTTTTTATTTTTATTTTATTTCGCTTGACAGCAAAGTAATTCCGGCAGCTTGGGGACCTCCACGACTGGGCTGCATGGTCTACCGGTCTATCCCACAATGTCTTCTCATTAATAGAATGTGCCAAAATTTTTATTCAAGTTCTGGACTGGGCTGTGTTGTCTCATGACAATGCGCAGCAGTATCTGTACCATCTTCAGCTGGAGAAACTTGGTGAACAGGTATGTTTCGGAACATTTTTCCTTTGCTTTTGTTCAAGTGCGATTAGCCGCGTCCCAGCACACCGGCATTTAGGCCTCAAGAAAGTGTGATTGAGCGTGCTGCACACCTTGCATGGGATTCTGACAGTGACGACTACGACAATGATTCTGACGATGTCTTTGAGGACCAAGGGAGTGACGCCTCGAGTACAGTGGGCGAATTGGAGATGGACGAGGACAGGGATGTGTCACGTACCGTGACATCGGATCCGATTGGCGCCGATATGCGCCGATGTTTGCTAATGACTCGTCCAGTTATAACACTGCATAGCGATGCTACACGACCGGTCAACTCGGCCATTCCAGTCATCCGATCCTGGATGACTCTTATATGCTATACTATGCTATGCGTTGACTCAGATACCCATATGCTCCCATCACGAAAGTCGGATCACCGGTTTCGCCGCGATGACTATTACCTTAGTATAAGTAGTACGTTTGTATCTTCAGTAGTCTTCAGTTTGAATATCGACTAAGACTCGCTCTCTACTATTTTCGCACTCCC